GGGTGGGTGGGTTGCCTTTTGGCTCGCTAGCTAGCTAACTAACTAGCTGGCTGGGTGGCTAGCTAGCTGGGTGGCTAGCTAGCCGGGTGGCTAGCTAGCTGGGTGGCTAGCTGGCTAGCTAGCCACCACTGCTGGGGTGAGAAAGAAGGTTTGCGAAACTGCAAACTGTCCAGTGAGCTGGCTAAGACGAATGAGCTAGCTAGCGAGCTGGAGGCCCACACAGCTAGCTAGCTAGCTAGCTAGCTAGCTAGCTTCGCAAAATTCAGTTGGCTAGCTAGCCAACAAACAAAATAGCTAGCTAGCGAGCTAACTAGCTGGCTAGCCAAGTAAATAGCTAGCCGCCTTGCTCTATAGCCAGCTAGCCAGCTAGCAACATCGTGGCTAGCTAGCGAGCTAGCCCTACACACGGAGGGCCTAGTAAACTAGCTAGCTAGCTAGAAGCTAGCTAGCTAGCTAGCTAGCTAGCTAGCTAGCCAGCTTTCGGGCCCTTCGCATAATAAATCGGGAAGCTCCAAGCTTTCATTCAGGTGAATGCTAGCCGTAAGGAAATGCCGAAGTAGAAGGCTGTACAGCTAGCTTCGTAGCTAGCTAGCTGCGTAGCTAGCTAGCTGCGTAGCTAGCTAGCTGCTTAGCTAGCTAGCTGCGTAGCTAGCTAGCTGCGTAGCTAGCTGGCTGTGTAGCTAGCTGGCTGCTTAGCTAGCTAGCTGCCTAGCTAGCTAGCTGCGTAGCTAGCTGGCTGTGTAGCTAGCTAGCTGTGCGGCTAGCTGGCCGTGTAGCTAGCTAGCTGAGTAGCAGCAGCTGCTGCAGCTCTGGGCACTTTTGCTGCAGCTTAGGGGCCTGCCTATACACTCCAGCCACGACAGATGCACTGCCAAGAGAGAGAGTAAATAAGGAGCAGCAGCAGCAGCAGCAGCAGCAGCAGCAGATGGCAGCAGCAACAGATTGTAACAGCTGCTGCAGTCGCAACAGCAGCAGATGGCAGCAGCAGCAGCCGACGCCAGCAGCTGCTGCAGTCGCAGCAGCAGCAGCAGCAGCAGTAAGCGGCACGGTAACTGTAGTCTCATTAGGATGACTGTACAATTTCAGCAGCAGCAGCACCTGTTGCTGCTGCTGCTGCTGCTGCTGCTGCTGCAGAAGCACAGCGGGTGCAGCCGCAGCAGCAGCAGCTTTGCTGCAACGCCAGCTACAGCAACAGCAGCAGCAGCAGAGCCGATTGAATGTGCTGCTCCAGTGTCTTGAAGGCACCCGGTGAAACTGCAGCAGCAGCAGCAGCAACTGCAGCAGCAACAGCAACAACTGCAGCAGCAGCAGCAACAGCAGTTGTAATTAACAAAAATAATTAGAAAATAAAGCAGCAATTGATAGCAGCAACTTCCATAGCACAGCAGCAGCAGCGGCAGCAGGGGGCCCCGCCAGGGCCCCACGTCTGGGGCCCCCTGCTGCTGCTGCTGCTGCTACTGCTGCTGCTGCTGCTGCTGCCTTGCGTTAATCTGGAGGCTTTAGTTTTAAATATTTCACAGCATGTGCTGCTGCAGCAATTGAAAGCTGTTGCTGCCGACGGATACAGCAGCAGCAGCAGCAGCAGCAGCAGCAACAGCGGGTGTTGCAGCTCCAGGTCCCTCCCTCGGCAGCAACTGCAGCAACTGCAGCAACTGCAGCAACTGCAGCAATAACTAATTCCTTTGCTGCTTCAGAACGAGCAGCGGGCAGGCTAGCAGCAACGGCAGCAGCTGAGCGCCGCCGCAGCAGCAACAGCAGCAGCAGCAGCTCCACTTGCTGCTGTTGCGCCAGCTGCAGCAACAGCAACAGCAGCAGCAGTAGTGTTTGCAGCAGCAGCAGCAGCAGCAGCAAAGATGGATGAAGTATGTGTGGATCTGACTGGGGACTCTGGGGATGAGGACTTCAATGTGAACTCTGAGCAGCAGCAGCAGCAGCAGCAGCAGCAGCAGCAGCAGCAAACAGATGAAGAGGAGGATGAGGATGACTATGAAGACGCAGAAGAAGAAGAGGATGACTTTGATGAGGCAGCAGCAGCAACAGACGAGGAAGCAGCAGCAGCAACAGATGACGAGGAAGCAGCAGCAGCAGCAGCAGCAACAGATGACGAGGAAGCAGCAGCAGCAGCAGCAGCAACAGATGAGGACGACGCAGAAGCACCCGCAACAGATGATGAAGCAGCAGCAGCAGCAAGAACAACAGACGATGAAGGCTCAGCAGCAGCAGCAGACGATGAATCAGCAGCAGCAGCAGCAACAGATGATGAAGCAGCAGCAGCAGCAGCAACAGATGATGATGAAGCAGATGAAGACGAAGATGCTTCCGATGAGTACGGAGACAGCGAAGAAGAGGAGCCAGCAGCAGCAGCAGCAGCAGCAGCAGCAGCAGCAGCAGCAGCAGCAGCAGGGGACAGTGAGAAGGAGGCGTCAGCTGGGGAGGGCTCAGGTGGAGAAGCAGCAGCAGAAGAGAGGCCCCTTAGGGGCAGCAGCAGAAAGCAGCAGCA